TATCTAATATCACATATACACGTCCTTCTTCCATAACGTAAACCAACTCTTAGATTCAATCGTATTCTAAAATCATTATTTGATTGATCTAAGTTCATGCAACTTTTTATTTATGAAAATTTCATTTTCCTTTGGTCAATCGTTGAATTGAATAAAATCAACTGAAACGGGAATCGTTTTATAAGAACATCCCCTTTTTTATTTAATTGCACGTCGTAAACGGATACCATAAGAATTCTTATTCACATTATGACTCCTAATAATTAATATTTGGATTAACTGAACAATATAAATTTAATATTCATTGAGGGGAGGTATAATTGTGGGTTCAGGGGTACAAGACGGGGGACACCTTTTGTTGCTCAAACTGCAGCAGGAAATGCAATTCGTACAGTCGTGGATCCAGGTATGCAACGAGTGGAAGTCATGATAAAGGGTCCCGGTCTCGGAAGAGACGCAGCATTACGAGCTATTCGTAGAAGTGGTATACTATTAACTTTTGTACGGGATGTAACCCCTATTTCGCCAGCCCATTCTTTTAAATCCTCAGACCACTCAGGAAATTGCAATAATAAAATACGGCCAATATTTTTAGCTATTATCAATGATGGTAATATAATATAATTTCTAAAAATCGATTGAGTTACTAACATGGAACCTCTTATTATTTGAGCAAGCGGAATGGTATCCCAGGCTTCTGCTATTTCTATCCGCGTTTTCTCTTTTCGTTTGTTCTCCTTCTTTTTTTCCCCTTCTTTTATTGGTTCTTCTGTATAATCTAAAATTTTGAATTCTTCTTTTTTTCCATGATCTAACCGCACCTTTCAGTACGGCTACCTTGTTACGACTTCACTCCAGTCACTAGCCCTGCCTACGGCATCCTCCTCCTTGCGGTTAAGGTAACGACTTCGGGCATGGCCAGCTCCCGTAGTGTAATGGGTGGTGTATACAAGGCCCGGGAACGAATTCACCGTCGTATGGCTGACCGGCAATTACTAGTGATTCCGGCTTCATACAGGCGAGTTGCAGCCTGCAATCCGAACTGAGGATGGGTTTTTGGAGTTAGCTCACCCTTGCGGGATCGCGACCCTTTGTCCCAGCCATTGTAGCACATGTGTCGCCCAGGGCATAAGGGGCATAATGACTTGACGTCATCCTCACCTTCCTCCGGCTTATCACCGACAGTTTAAGTACAGTTGATATAGTTGAAGCACAGTCAAAATATGGGTTTTGGGGATGGAATTTGTGGCGTCAACCTATAGGGTTTATCATTTTTCTAATTTCTTCCCTAACGGAATGTGAAAGATTACCTTTTGATTTACCAAAAGCGGAAGAGGAGCTAGTGGCGGGTTATCAAACCGAATACTCAGGAATCAAATTTGGTTTGTTTTATGTTGCTTCCTATCTAAATTTATTAGTTTCTTCATTATATGTTAACAGTTCTTTACTTGGGCGGTTGGAATCTTTCTATTCCGTACATACCCGTTCCTGAGCTTTTTGAAATAAATAAAGCGGGTATAGTCTTTGGAACAATAATTAGCATCTTTATTACATTAGCTAAAACTTATTTGTTCTTATTCATTTCTATCACAACAAGATGGACTTTACCGAGGCTGAGAATGAACCAACTATTAAATCTTGGATGGAAATTTCTTTTACCTATTTCTCTAGGTAATCTATTATTAACAACTTTTTCCCAACTTATGTCACTGTAAAGGAATACAATATTCACGACTTGTCTCAAACAAGAGAAAGAAACAGGCATAAATTTTTTTATAGATATTCGCAATATGTTCCCTATGGTAAATGGGTTCATGAATTATGGTCAACAAACAATACGGGCTATAAAAAATTATTTACTAAAAAGTAATTTTACTAAAAATTATAGCAGTTATATCAATTTTACTAAGTTATTTAGTAATTCCTTTTGGCTATTGCCTTGTTCTAGCCGATCTCAGTATTGGTGTTTTTTTATGAATTGCTATTTCAAGTATTGCTCCTGTTAGACTTCTTACATCAGGATATGGATCAAATAATAAATATTCTTTTTTAGGCAGTTTGCGAGCTGTTGCTCAATCAATTAGTTATGAAATACCATTAACTCTATGTGTGTTATCAATATCTCTACGTGTGATTCGTTGAGACAAAAACTTTCCCTATTTCCTTGCTTTATAGGAAAGAAGTTAAATGTGTTGAATACATATTTTCATATTTTTTATTCAACATTTGGGTTTGATGAATTAAACCAGATAGTTATATGAGTGAGAAAAACAGCTTCTAAATTCGCAATAAAAAAATTGAGTCTCATTTCCTATGTACAAGAGTTAAGGGAAAATAAACATAAACAGTAGAGGCTGCTTACCCCAAGATTGGTTGATTAGTCATCATGTCTTGAAGCGGGTTCAAAAGATCAATTGGATAGGGTTTTTATTATTTATTACCAGACATGTATCATTATAATGGGGGATTAGGCAAAAATGAGTGGATGGTTAGGAACACCAAGGTACACAAAGGATTAGTAATAGAGGTTATGTAAGTTATCCAACAAGATATTTCTGCATAAAAGGAATTCTAATTGGGACTTTAAGTTGGTAGAAACGAACAAGCAGTACTCCCCACGATTCCGATCCAGAGTATGCTCCTATCCACCGATTCGGTAAATAACTATCAGGAACGAAGTAATCCTCTATTTATTTTTTTTGAAAGCCCCCCTTTTTTGAGAAAGGAGAATAGGAACGAAAAAATAAATAAAATAGAAAGAATTTCATTGCAATAGAAAAAAGAAAAAATCTTTTTTTATTCTTTCTTTCCTATATACATATTTAGAGAGACGGGCTTTTTGTCATGATTCATGAACTAATGTAATGTCTAATTCTTTTTCGTAATTGAAAATGGTAGGTTGAAATATGTATGGATATTGCTACAAAAAGTATTTTATTGAAAGATTAAGTTATTACTCATACACAACAAAAAAAGAAAAATTATTAAAAGATGAGATCAATTCAGAAGCACTTTTATATATATATATATATTTTTATTATAAATAGAGCAGATAGAATTCCATTGTTCTAATTTGGGGCCTTAGGATAGATTTTGACTCTATCTATCCTGCAAACATATCAAGATAAATAATATTGAATGTGTCCTTAGATTTATTTATGACCCTCGAGTAGTCGTATGAGGTGAAAATCTCATGTACGTTCTGTAATAGTGATGGAAACAGTTCCATTCCCACCAAGAATTAATAAAGTAATTTAAAGACAAAAAGACCATTTGCCTTGTGTTCATACAAACCCGTGCATCCCTTCTCTCACCATTTCTCTCTCTCTATATATATATATATATATATATATATATATGCAGTTTGTTCCTTCTCTCTGATTTACACACAAAAGGATGAGACAAAAACAGTGTAATTGAACTTCTATGAGCTTATGCAACTTTCTTAGTCATTATCTAGCAATAATTATTTATTTATTTATTATTTTTTAGTCTCTAATGTTATGATAATTATGGTCTTCATCTGTTGGATAAAAATAAAATGTCATGTGTATGTTGTTTTAGGAATCTAATTCCATCATTGGAGAAATTTAGCAATCGCCCTATCCTTTTGGAATGAGTTTATGGCAATGGGTCATTACTTTTTTTTGGGTGTGCAAGAAACAGACAATTTCATAGGAAAATTTCTAAAACAACATACACATGACATGAATGATTCAGTGATGACGTGGACTGAAACGGCGGCGACTATGCATAATCTGGACCAGGTTGCTAAAAGTCGTCGGAGAATGTCGCCAAAGAAGATGATTGGAAAATTATTTCTTTCCCTTTTATTTTTGCAGTCGTTCGAGAGCCCTTTGTTTTTTTTTTTTTTTTTTCTCATCTATTTTCTCTCTCTATTTTGTCTATTTTCTCTCTCTATTATCTGCTTCCTTTTTATTTTTCCAGTCGTTCGAGAGCCTCTATTTCTTTTTTCTATCATCTCTTTTCCTTCTTTTTGCAGATTAATTTTTTTTACTAATAATAAGATGTAATTTAAAAAAACAATATAAATTTATTTTATTCCAACTTTCTTACCAAAGATAGGAATGAGAATGAGCATTTCATTTTTACACATTTCATGTTTGCAACCAAACGGTAAAATAAGAATCATCATTCCCATTCTATTTTCACCTCGATTCTCATTCCATTTTAATTCATTTCACCACACCAAATATGTCCTAAAATTACATTAGTGCTTACGTGGAATGCTCTAGTGTGGTTATTTTTGTCCTAACAAATATGGGGTAAAGTGTGTGTGTGTATATATATAAAGGTAATTGGATCCTCTGATTATTTTGATATCTTATCATCAAAATTAATCAAATAATGGAAGGTGGAGTACATTTCACATACTCTGTTTGAATGTCAAATCTCACCACGAATGTCATTTTTGAAAAATAACTTGTATATGTCTACCTTACCCCCAAATTTCTGGGGATGTACTTTACCCTTCTAAAAGGTCCCCTATTCTATAAATTTAAATTCTTAAGACCTCGTCCTTCTCGTATGAACTTAAATTTTTTTGTAAAGATTATAGGAGTAAAGATTATAGGAGTATACAATATACGGAGTACTAATGTAATTTATTCTATTTATATATTTGTAGTAGTTTATATAATACTCGTATACAAAATGGTCTGGATGAAAACCCAACCAAAATCGACCACCTCTCGCCGCCGTTACTCATCCCCACTCCTTATCCGGCCACTGCTATCCCTTGACTCTCGATATATATATAGATTATAGAGAGAGAGGAGAAGATTTTTGGAGAGAGAATGAATAATAATTGAACTGTGTCTGTTTTTTAGGGGTGTTATAGTGGTGGTTTGGGGCCTGGGGATTCATGACCCGGAATTAATGGTATTGACGGTGGACAGTAGAGAGCGGCAGCGGCGGCGAATTGCCAATACCCATAAAGCGTTAGTATTCTAAATGAGAGCTCGTCATGTTCTCCCTAAATTCAACTCCGTTCCCGCCAAAACCACCCCCTCCTCCCCAAAAAAGCTACTGCTTCATATGATCAATCCTTCACGGAAACCACCCACTCTCGCGGAGGTATTATTCCGATTGAAGCCCACTTCATATCTCTTATTCACGCCTCCAAAAACACCCAACAACTCAAGCAAATCCATGCCCAGATCATCGGTCACAACCTGTCTCAGACCAGTCGGGTCGTAACCCAGTTAATTTCTTCATGTTCTTTACTAAAATCAGTCCATTATGCTTTGTTGGTCTTTCGCCACTTCGCTAATCCTAACTCGTTCCTTTTCAATGCATTGATTCGTGCACTTGCGGAGAATTCTCATTTCCAGAACTCAATTTCCCATTTAACACTAATGTTGAGGTTGAATATTCGACCTGATCTTCTCACGTTCCCGTTCATTCTCAAGTCGGCTTCGGCATTGCTTGAACCGGAGATGGGCAGAGTACTTCATGGCCAAATCTCGAAAGTGGGTGTTGAATTTGATTCATTTGTGCGAGTTTCGTTGGTTGATATTTATGTGAAAGTTGAGTTGTTGGGTTTTGCTGTGCAAGTATTTGATGAAAGTCCTGTAAGAAACAAGCTGCAGAGTGTGCTCTTATGGAATGTTGTTATTAATGGATGTTGTAAAGTAGGTGACTTGAAGAAGGCCATGGAGCTATTTGAGGCAATGCCTGAGAGGAACAGTGGGTCTTGGAATAGTTTGATAAATGGGTTTATGAGAAACGGAGAATTGGATAGGGCAATAGAGCTTTTTGATCGTCTGCCAGAGAAAAATGTGGTTTCTTGGACCACAATGGTTAATGGGTTTTCTCAAAATGGAGATCACAAAAAGGCTTTGCTGATGTTTTTTAGGATGCTGGAGGAGGGTGTGAGGCCTAATGATCTCACTGTTGTTTCTGCCCTTTCTGCTTGTGCAAAAATTGGAGCCCTTGAAACTGGATACCGGATTCAAAATTATCTCTCAAGCAACAATTTCAAGTTGAATAGATTCATTGGAACTGCCTTGGTGGATATGTATGCAAAATGTGGGAACCTCGAGTCTGCGAGTCGAGTCTTTGATGAGACAAAAGATAAGGATCTCCGTACGTCGAGTGTAATGACATGGGGTTGGGCAATACATGGATGTTTTGAGCTAGCTCTTGAATGCTTTGATAGAATGAGATCAGCAGATATGAAATTTCTATGTCTTGTGGTTTTGTCTGTGATCCTGCATATGGTCATTTTAGAGATTCGTACATGTCTTGTGGTTTTGTCTGTGATCCTTCAGATGATCATTTAAAGATATTGATATATGTCCATGCTTTCAGGAATAAACCCAGATGGAGTTGTCTTTCTTGCCATCCTAACCGCATGTTCACATTCTGGGCAAGTAGATCAGGGACTGAGTTTCTTTGACAGCATGAAGCTTGATTATTCCATTGACCCAACTTTGAAACATTATGCATTAATTGTAGATCTATTTGGAAGGGCTGGTTGGCTTCATGAAGCTCTAACTTTCATACAAAGCATGCCATTAGAGCCTGATTTTGTGATATGGGGAGCACTATTTTGTGCTTGCAGGACTCATAGAAATACTGAAATGGCAGAATTCGTTTCAGAGAAGCTCCTGCAGCTCGAGCCTAAGCATCCTGGGAGCTATGTCTTTTTGTCAAATGTTTATGCCGGGGTAGGGAGATGGGAAGATGTCGAAAGAGTGAGAACTTTAATGAATAATAGAGGTGTAGAGAAGGATCCTGGATGGAGTTATATTGAGGTGGAGGGCCAGGTGCATAGTTTTGTAGCAGGTGCTCATGCTCATGAGCGTGCAGAAGAGATTAACTTAAAATTAGAGGAGATAACAAGAAGTGCTAGGGAACAGGGTTTTATGCCTGAAACTGAGTGGGTACTTCATAATATTGAAGAAGAGGAGAAGGAAGATGCACTGGGAAGTCATAGTGAGAAATTGGCTCTTGCCTTCGGGCTAGTGAGTACTGCTTCTAGGACGACCATTAGGATTTTTAGAAACCTAAGAATCTGCGGGGATTGCCATTCTATGATGAAATATGTTAGTAAGATTAGTCAAAGGGACATAGTATTGAGAGATATAAAACGATTTCATCATTTCAAGGATGGAACTTGCTCATGCAAAGATTTCTGGTAAAGTTGTAAGTGCAATCCAACTTGCTTTAATATAAAATCATTTTTTTTTTTTCATTTGCATTGATTCATAGTCTAATTTATGAATGGAATTGAAAAGATATTACTAAAAGATGAAATAGTCTAGCTTGAAATTACATAATGGGAACTTTTTTCTACGACCTCAACATAGAAGAACCGTATTCAGTTATTTGGGTCAGCTACTAAAATCCTTTTATCTTTTCACCCTGTTTTTGGTGGTCATTTTTTACTACTTTGATCCATTGTTTTTTGCCTTCCCATTGTTTTTTGCCTCCCAAGTGTGAAGCCCTCCTACCAACTTTCTTAACAGTACCTTCAATTACTTTGGGTCCAAATCTAACAAGACATTCCTAAACAAAGGCCAACCCAATTATTATTTGAGACACATGCAACATGATGATTCTAACTGCTTCCTAACTCCTTCCAAGATGCTTCTTTCTTCTAACTTCTTTTTGGTAACTCATCTATCCCAATCATCTGCTGCCTCAGTTGACACATAATCACCAGATTCACCACATGTCGCTTACTCACCAATTTCGGCCAAAAGGGATTGTTTGGGTGTAAACAGATGTAACCTTCATTTCGAATCGGTGTTCAATTATATAAGTTGTCAAATAACCTAGTTACCATTGTTTTGACATGGAAATTGCTAACACAGTGTTAAGCATCTCTATCTCTCAATTACCTGACAAAACCAAACCCATCATACGTGATGCATTCCAGCAGCAACAACAAATTAATATTAGACCAGTTAAGTATGTGAAAGAAATAAAAAAATCTACTATGACAAACTTCATAAGCACTTTTTTCATACTTACTAGCTTCACTCATGTAATCTGTACATAAATGTCATAAAGCAGTATATCAATGTAGCTTAATAAAGTAACAAAAAGTGGACCAATCCCAATTATTAGTTTCATTCATTTAACTGTACAATAATATATCAATGTAGCTATTCAGGGAAAAAATAATAATAATAATATCAATGTAGCTTAATAAAGTTACAAATAGTGGATTTAAAATCAAACTTATGCGTTATTAATGCTAACATGACTTGACACACAAATTGGTGCCTGTTTATGATTTACCTATCAATGATGGTAGACCAAACAATGGGTACCCCAATAATGATAGAGTAAAGAAATTCAAGTTTTTGTTAATTAATTTCGTTAGGTGTTTTCTGGTATCAATGTTATGTGCCAAAATCTTACATTCTCTTTTCAAATTTTTAGCCCATTTGGTTTTTGTCACTGGGGAAATGAAACTATTGAAGATTTAAATGGAGAAATCAGTGGAGGGAAATCTTTCAGTAATTGATGTTGTTTCCTATTATTGAAGATTTGATGTTATAGAGGAATCAATGGAGAAAAATCCTCCTTGTTTCCTATTCTACTTTAGTTAGTTACATTGTTCCATTTTCTGAAATTTTAACTTGTAAAAATTTAATGATAGATATGGAACATAATAGCTTGAATAATTAGTCAAAAAAAATAAAAAATAATGCTTGAGAATGGAACTCTTCCAGCCATAAGATGGTTATATTTTATTAATTTATGCCAGAACCTAACTTCCCATAAATTTTGTTTTTGTTCTTGTATTTATTTTCTTCTTAGGTCTGGTTTTGTTGCTTGTGTAGTTATTTGATCAAGAATTTATGATGCTGCTTTGCTTATTAGAGTGCTTTGCGATTGATGCCTTATGAAGATGGTTAATGTCTTGAAATCTATGCAGATTTTTTTTTTCTTTTAATCTTTTTCTTTTCCATTGATAAGATTTGGAAGATGAGGTAAATATGCACTAGGAATGATATGCCAGTTTATATTTGATACTGATCTTTCGTACAATAGTTTAAAAGTAGCACCATTAAACTGAAAAGCATTATGGGGTGTTTTCACTGTGGGCATTCAAGTGGAGCTGTTGGGTACCTTTGTGTGTCATTGCAGTAATCATAGTTCATGTATCCTTGTTTCACAGTCTCATATTGGCTTTCTTGGTCCCGGGATAGACTCCAATACTCCTCTCTGTTCCACCAAAACTGGGAAGAATAGCAACCTGTGCCAAAGTTATCGGTGCATCCATCGATGCCAAAGCTTCGAAAATGAGCTCTGAATGGTGCGTGATTCCAATCAATTTTAGTCTCCCCACCATCTGTGGCCCAATTATCTCCATCCCATATACTTGCTTCTACTTGCATTGGTTGTGTTGGGTACCCAACTCCTATCTCTCCCCTGTTCTTGAAAACCCGAATGGGAGTATAGTCGATGAAAAACCTGGAAAGACAGCACCAATAACTCTTATGGAAAATGCCGGTAAAGCACAACACAATCAAGCAATAACAGAAAATGTAAATCACGAATCACACGGATACACAAAACATTTAATGTGCTTCCGCTTATAGCCTATGCCCACAGTGACGATTGATGAATAGTTTTCACTATCGAAAGAAGAAAAGAGATTTCAAGTCTCTCGAACCCTAACCCGTCACAAAGCGACCTGGACAGATAAAAGAATTCTGGCCAAAACTCAACAATAACAAAAGAAAATAAGTTAGAATTCAATGGTTGGTAATGTAAGGACCATATTGGATTGAGTTGGGTAGCCCAGTTAGTAGAGGCAAGGCATTCCCTTGAGTCGTGTAGGAGCCCAGGTTTGACTCATCTCATCCCCCCTTCCTTGCCATGTAAAAAACCATATTGAGTTCTTAAAACATTGTTTAGTTGTTTTGTTGTACCATGAGAAGAAGATAAATTAGTGTATACCATTTTACTTCTTCGTTTGTTTGTTTAGTACTATTTAGGTTCAAGAAAGTTGGAAGTTTGGAACATTGGCCATGTGAACTCATGATTTGAAATTAGTAGTAAGTAGTGTTATCTTACACTATCTGGTGTTGGTTCCATAAGATTCTGTAAGTATGGAAGCTTGCAGTGGGATCAAACCATAGATGGATCCTCTGCTCTCTACCTCCTACTCCATTTGTAAAGACATTAGTCTGGACTAAGTAGGGCTTCCCTTCTCTGTTACCCAGAAACTCAAAGTCCAATTCGTTGCCATTGTGTGAAGTCATCTGCCAAAAGATAAAAAATAGCATTAGTTTCAGTGACTACTTCAACTCTCGAATGGTTATTCTTTTATGGCATAAAATCACATACTATCTTACATAGAAAGCTGTTACGACGCCTGCAGAGTCTTTGTCAGGTAACTTTATCCTGAAATGGAAGAACCCAGAGCTATAACTCATCTTGGATTGAATTCCAGATCCTGTTCACCATCGAACATCAATGAAAATTGAATCCCACTTGAACTATCATGCCAAATAGAGAGTCTAATATGGTCTTATAGTTTCAAGCACTATAAAACTCTTTAATGTATGATTGGTGAAACTGCAATATATATAATCAACTTAGGCTTTTTCTTGTTATTTCATTTTTGTTGCCATAAAGCCTTATTGATTATTGAAGCTTTCTTTATTGCATCATATAGTGTATGGTACACTAAGCATTGACAGAATTTCTAATAGAAAAAGTTACTACAAGAAATATGTTTCTTGTAAATGATAAAATGCCCTGAAAAAAGAAAAGAAAGGAAAAGAAAAACCATAAATGAAATAAGAACCAATGGACATTAGCTCAAAATGGTATAAGTCGAGCCCTGCAAGGGGCAATATTGTGGGTGTGTGCGCGTTTCCTTGAACTTTCAGGGAAAAAGAACATATAAATAAGAGAGGTGGAAGGTAAGGAATTAAGAATGACCAGAGGATTGGTCAAGGGAGAGCTGAACATCCTTGCCCTCGTGTTGAGACCAGACATGATCAGCTCCAAATGCAACATTGTAGTTTTCATCATAGCTGGACTGTTGTGCTAATATTTTCCCCACCAGAACTATCATAAAGAAGCTCAGTAGATGCAAACCCATGACTTGAATTGTTAATTTGTGAGAATTGTAGAACTATTCCAACAACTTCCTCCCCCCCCCCTCTCTCTCTCACTCTCTATGTCTCTCTCTCTATATATAGAGACATAGAGTGAGAGAGAGACAGATGGTGTATATAGTATATATCATCAGATCACCAACTATTAGAGACATGCAAAGAGACTGTGATCCGGAGGGTATGCTCAATTCTTTGTGCAGGTAGGACTTAGGAAACTCATTCAACTGGAAAGTTTGATTATATATACACTTGATGCTTTTTGGGGAATCATTTTAGTGTTTAAACAAATGTGTACTAGCTCTTAATCGCATAAGATGCATTCATGTGATGTTGTGGGGGGAATTGTTGTTTCGCAATAATATTTTTTAACTCATTTTTCGCATACAGGTTGTGAACTCTATTTGGTATTCTCTTACAGTTTAGTATATAAGGGTGCTTAGCGATGTGTTTTTTTTTATTTTTTTTAGTAAATATAATGGCGCTTAGATTTTGGAGTGGGGCTTAAATATTTGTATCTCATGTCATGCTTTTCCAATTCCAAATTCAAGGCGTTGGTTCGGTGACGCCAAACGTATAAACACACCATTTCCTGTCTCCATATTAAAAAGGAGTTAGAAAACCATGATATAATCTGCACCCCTTTCCTAAATTCATTTTACCATTTCCTATCAAGAACATAATTATAGCCAATATCAGTTTCCCATTTGAGAGATACCATATGGTTTAACATAAATGAAAAGAATAAAAATCGATAATGTTGTGTTCGGGAGCATTGAATGTTTTTCAATTCCAAATCCAAAGGATCGATTCAAAATTCAAGCCTTAGAGTAGCCATGTTGTGAAATACCCAAGGTTGGGTCTATATATCACGAGTCCTCCCTCCCTAAGACTATATTGTAACGGGATAAGAACTTGGTATTGTTCATTTTAGAAAATATTAAAGAAATCATGCTTCATTTAATTTTTCTTTTTCATTTAATTATAAACTAGACATTTTTCACTTATTCACCCTAACTTTTTTACTCATTTCCAATTGCTCCTTTGAGGACTTGAACCCGAGAAAGTACCATCATAATCTTTGGTGCCTAATGAAAGTAATTGAAACAAGAAAACACAAAGCTAATGGCGAATACAGACGAAAATGACTAGCAGAGAGAGAGCATTGATGGTCCAGTAAATGAGCTTAAGGTCGAGTGGGAAAGGTACAGTGATGGCGAAGAAGAAGGCCGTGACACCAAATAGGACCCCAACATGCTCGAGCACTTGGGCTTGATTCGGGAACTTGGGAGAGATGTACTTGGACACAAACAGAGCAGCCACAGCGACCACCATTGCGAGACATAGCAAGTGGAAGTTCACAGAAAGTGAGATCGGGGCACAAGTTTGGAAGGATTGTAGAGCGACTGCAACTGCCCATGAGAAGCAAAATCGGATTACTATCACCGACCAATCTAGATTGCAGTGGGCATTGTTAGGAATGACTACTGCTGGTTCAGGCTTTTGCTGGGGATGTTGATGCTCAATCATTGCAGCTTCGGGGTCGAGAGTAGACATAATTGGTGAAGGTGGTGGTGGGCTTGGTTGTGATGAAATGGGCGGGTTGCAGCACACTCATTCATTCTTCTCTTGCTTTTAAGACTTACGTTTATTTTTTCTCAAATAGGCTGCCCTATTAAGGAAAAAAAAAAAAAATAGGAAGTTTCCAGGAAACTTCTGTACGAGTTGTTGATACTCAATTTAAATGTTGGTGATTATAATAATGTTATCATCAAGTAGTTTTTTCCTAGGAAATATTCCAGTGGCGGCAAGTCCTACAAGCCAAACGAACAGAAGAAGGTTTGTGGGACCTCTGTTATACACCACTGACTAAACTCACTCTCATTTGCTAATACGGATGAGAACACCACTCGTTCAAAGTCGGAACACAATTTATATGTAACACACTTATTTTTAGCATGTAGCACAATTAAATCTAAAGTCAACTTGATTAATAGAAGACGCAATACCATTATTTTATTACTTAATTACTGAAAGAAAGAAAAAAAAAAAAAAAAAAACAAAAACACACTATTATTTCAAAAAAAAAAAATTATTTTTTGTACAAGTATTTGGAACATATTTAAAATAAAAGTGAGTATATTAGAGTATCACGGAGCTCCGTGCAGCCTTAGCACATTCAAGCGCCCTTGAAGTGCTAAGTCAATTTACGGGATGTTAGTGTGGAATGTTACTGTGGTGGTAAATTTCCGCTCCGATGAAAACAGGGCACGCCATCAAGAGAAGAACCAATAAAGGTGTACCATGCGGCACTGCAAAGCAATGGGTTGAGACTGCGCCCATCAAACTAAGTGGAGCAGGCCGAACCATAGGCGAGAGGATTGGGACGAGGGGAAAGGCCAGGCCCATCAAATATTCAGGGCCGGCCCAATGCATTAAACGATTCATGCCACCAATCCGAGTCCTCTTGGGGAAAGGAAATTGATATGATGTATACAATTCCAAATACACAAACTAGTGAAGTTATAGAAGGGAAACAAATATATACAAAGAAATAACTTAGTGGACAAACAATACTGTAGAGCACTTTTTTTTTTGTGTGTGTGTGTTGTGTTGCATTATTTTTGCTGACTATTCTTAATTTGCAAATTTCTGCACTTAGCTTAGTAGAAACCAAGACTAAAGAAGTACTTGCCTGCTAGTGTAGTGAAGGAAGAGTAGTAAGACAAGTGAGCAAGAGAGTTTGGGAGCGTGAAACTTGTATTTCTTGAGAGCTCTTTACAACACTTTTGCTTATAGGAGCAAATGAACTCCCATTTTCTTATATAGGCAAGGGGTCATCGATTTATCGGTTGGGAGAATTCTAGAATACTTCAAAGAATAATCTCTACAAGTCTAGATACATCTAAAGGAATCTATACAAATTTGTACAAGTCTAGACAACTTTGTATAACTCTAGAGAATTTCAGAAGGATTCACACTTGTGTAGAGAAGTCTAGAAAGTTCTCGATCCATGCAAGCTACCTATGTCATCTGTTTGTGTGCCTACATGGCATAACCTTCTTTAGTAGGGCGTAACACTCTCCCCCACCTAAGCTCGCAACGCTCTCGTAGTACTCTCTTCCTTAAACCATTGGATGTGCTCCACAAACTGCCAAAGTGCATCCTCATGCTCCTAGCTTGCTTTGCTATCCGATAAGTTCTTCCATTTCATTAAGTAATCTGTATACTTGGGCACTCCTCTCCTCATCACGTGATTGGCAAGGATGAAATACACTTCCTTGTCAAAGAATGTGATGACGGTGATGGGTGTCTGTTGCGATATGCACTGAGTAGGATCCTCTGTGCCTCTGAGGTACGACTTCAACATGCTAACATGCACGGATGACCGGATGGATCTTCAACTTAGGTGGTAATTGCACATCATTGGAGACCTTTCCCACCCATTTGACAATAGGGAATGGACCCCTTGTGCATCACCCGAAGTGTTTTGACCTGTTGGGGTTGTAGCTTTACCATCACTTGGTCTCCTCCATGTAATCCACCCGACTTTACTTTGTGTCGACCCACTTCTTCATCTTCTTTGCTGCCTTCTCAAGTATGTCCTTGCTAAGTCGGTCTACTCATGCCACCTCTTAGCAAACTTGTAGACCATCGGACTCTTCCTATCACAACTGGAGGCAATGGTATTAGGTGTCATAAGCTGATGTTCGATGGCAACCTCGAAGGGACTATGATTGGTAGCCCGACTCTGTTGTAGGTTATAGGAAAATTGCGCCACTTCAAGGAGTTTGGTCTAATCCTTCTGGTTAGCACTCACATAGTGCTGTAAATATAGTTTTAATAAAGTGTTTTAAATATAGTTCTAAATTCATTTTACCATTTCCTGTCAAGAACATAATTATAGCCAATATCAGTTTCCCATTGGAGAGATTCCATATGGTTAACGTAAATGAAAGTAATAAAAATCGATAATGTTAAAAAATAAACTTGATTTTAGTATTTCATTAATCATTTTAAGTATTTGTTTTACATAGAGTATGTGGGCATTTAGCATGTTAGTGGGTAGTAGTAAATTATCTTAATGAGAACTAGTATATGAGAGTTAAGACTAACTGGTTATGTTAGTGGGAGTTATACCTACTAAATATCATGTTAGTGGGAATAGTGGGTGTAATTGGGCATTAAAATGTAATTGGTTACATATGTCTTAGAGCCTATATAAACTCATGTACTATACCTATTTTAAGTGAGTAGAAGAATAAGATGAATTAGTAGAAGTGAAATAAAAAAAAATTCCAAGTATTCCTCCATATCATTCTCTTCCAAAATATTATTGAGTGTTTTGTGTATTTATGCCACTATTTCTAACAAAGCGGTATCAGATAAAAAGCCAATAGAATGGTATTAGAGCAAAAGCCAACAAAGTGGTATCAGAGCCAGGTTCCATATTAGAGCCAGATTTCATATTCAAAGCCTAGATGATCCTGAAGGCCTTACAAAGTTGATTCCTATAAGGTTCAACATTTTGAGAAAACCATATTTCTCCTTGATGACGATGAAGAGGAGAAAATGTATTTTTTTAGTGAGAAGATGATATTCTCTAATTACAAGAGAATGAGAATCATTATGACTTCATACCTCAAAGCATTTGAGTTGTGGGATGTTGTTGGAGAGGAGCCAAAGAATGGCATGCCCAATAAGCTTCGTGAAAAGAAAGAAGAAAAGACATTGGTAGTGTTGCAAAAAGTAATACATCAAGAAATTTGGGAGTATTTTGGAGAGTCCAAAACTCCAAGTTGTGTTTAGAAGATGCTCGAGGTCGTCACTTCCATTCATAGAGGTGAATCACTATCCATAGAGTATTGGGTACAATGCTTTGAGGATGATGAGTTTACGAAAGATGATTATCAAATTCTTGAAGACAAATTTGTGGAGAATGAAGAGGAATGCCATGCAAATGAAATTGACCATTTTGAAGATTCAA